TCCTACCCCATCTATACCTTAGAGACATAGCCAAGCGGACGTTCCCGCTAAAACTAAATACTGGCCATAGACATACAATGTTCAAACCATGTCAGGACCACTCGACCATGCACCTTCCGAGCCACGCACCAATGCAGTTATCAAAACTGCTACCTATCTAGCCTTCAACCGCTTTCTCAGGCCAAAAAAATAACTCACTATCAGCGGCCAACATCATAAACAAGAGTGCCTGTTGACCTCTTATCCTCTAAAACACACAGACCACTATGTCAGATCCCTTCCTAAAACTAAGACGAGTCAGATGGGCGAACAATTGCATATAACCTACCTTACTAGCAATGCTGGGTGCCCAGTTAAGGTACTGGTTACATTCTTGGGCACGCCACCATACACACCACTGAACCATTAATGTCGCTGTATGATACTGTCCTTACCACAGGTAAGTTCATGCACTATGTCCACCTACTCATTCACCGGGCTCGAACTAAACCCTAGTGACTACTCAGGGCACTCCTTTAGGATAAAAGCAGCCTCCACGGCCTATAGCCAAGATATCCCTGCACACGTTAAGACACGGGGCCGCTGTGAATTATAGGCTTAAGCGACTTACATACCACAGCCGATTCAGGAATTAGGATGCTTTCATTAAAATGTCTACCTGATGGTTAACAAATGCACTATGATCCTGTATAATGTTTTGCATTAATATGTCTTTTTTTGCCCACTTTTTCCGGCCTACAGCATATGTCGGTTTCAGCACACCTCAACCGACTATTCCTAAAGCTACATCTCTACAACCCATCTTATTCTATATCATATGAGAATGCCCCGAACACAAATTATATATATATATATTTTTTTTATAAATCCATTTCTGGCTCTGAGAGAGCAGGCTGCTGAATGCATGTAAATGCTCTTAATGCTTAGTCTATATACATTTATTTGTAAACAACATTTTATATATGTATATATAAACAACTTTAATATTTAATCTTATTTTATGAAAACCTAGTTTATGAAATTCACTGAGATTACATGTGTCTGATCTGATTACAGTCAGTAGTACAATATCATTGTTCTAATTTCCTTACTGCTAGCACTACACGTACAGTGGGATAGTACCACTGATTTAAGTAAGCTTTCCCTTTTAAAATTGGTGAACTTTACTGCCATTGCAATAGACTAAAGACTGTACCTGAGTAAGCAAAGTCATTATGTGCAGGAATTGTGCACTTTAATTGGTAGAGTACTTATGCTCTTCTAGTGAATTGGGCTGGCTGCTTAACACATCATTTAGTATCTTTTGGTCACATTTAAAGCTGTAAATGTATTTAACATTTTATTTAAATAAGCCTTTAATAATTTCAGTTTAACAGTTATCAGAGATCCTGTATAATTACAATTTTATTTTGCTCTGATTTTTCTTACATATAATTTTTTCATTTTTATAAATATTTATTTTTTGCTGAGCATTTAGAGAAGCAAAAGGTGTATAACAACATGTTGCCCTCCTGTTTTATTTATTTATTTATTTTATTTTTTTCTATTAACTGATTTTCTAGGAGCGTAGTATAATTTCAACTCTGTTTAGGAAAAAATATGAGCTAGTTAGCATATGTACTGCATTGTACTGCAATGATTTTTTTTTTAAACTATATCTAAAGTAATGCATTTTATTTATTTTTTCCCTCGTATGAAGTTTACATATCGAATTAAGTGAATGCTATAAAAAAAAAAAAATGTATAGCTGCACCTACAAGAGCCTTATCGAATCAAATAAGGATTATTGAAAATAAAATTAAATGAAACTCTAATCTCTAAAATAAATAAAAATTTACAGTATATGAAAATTACTACAGGGGGGAATAAGGCAGATAAACTGCTTACAAACAAAGTTAAAAACCAAAAAAAAAAAAAAAAAAAAGTTAAAAACCAAAAAAAAAAAAAAAAACTAATTACAAAAATAAGACACGGAACTGAAACAATACTGGATCCCAACAAAATTGGTGTGGCATTTAGAGATTATTATTATAAATTATATAATCTACCGGTCACATCATCTCAAGAAGATATAAATTATTATTTCTTGAATATCCACCTCTCTAGGCTAAATGCCTCCCAATTAGACCAATTGAATACAGATATCTCTCTCCAAGAAGTTATTGAATCCATTAATGCTATGAAAAATTTAAAGAGCCGGGCCCAGACGGGTTCTCAGATTCCTTTTTTAAAATATATAAGGAGAGGCTGGCTCAGAGATTGATTACTGTTATAATTTAGCCATGACTACAGGCAAAGTACCAAAAGAAATGTTAGTAGCCAACATCGTCCCTATCTTAAAAAAAACAATAAAAATCCAGAAGAAATAACTAATTATCGGCCAATAGCCACGAGATTTGTGTACCTTGGGATAAATATAGTAAGAGAACCAGAGAATATAATAAAGGTCAATGTAATCCCTCTGATTAGATAATGTATGCATTCTCTAAAACATTGGAACTCAGAGATCCTGGTGGGGCAGGGTCAATTTTATTAAGGCTTATATTTTTCCTAAATTTATTTATTGAGGATGATTCCGTTAGAGATACAACCTCAATGGCTTAAACTTATAAATACAATCTTCAGAGACTATATTTGGCTTAATAAGAAACCCAGGATAGGGCAGGAACTTCTATATTTGAAGCACAAACAATGAGGTATTGGCTTTCCAAATATTTTCCTATATCACCAGGAGGCTCAGCTGCTGCACACCCTACCCCTAATTAAGCAGGATAGATACCCACAAAATTGGTTCGAAATAGAGGGGGAAGATATTACAGTTCCATAGAATACTGTTAGATTATTGTGGCCTATAAGAAATAGTATTCAAAATAAAGTTATAAGGTGCTAAACCGATAATCCAACAACTAGACCTCTGGTCATGTTCTGGACCTATTCTAAAAATCAGTTAGAACGAAGGAATAAAATATTACCTGCATTGCCCTTTTAAAAGCCTGGAGATATGGTTGGAAAATTTAGACACGGCAGAATGGACTAGGCATGGGATTTATAAAATCGCAGATGTATTAGACGATAAGAATATTATTTCCTTCTCCGAGTTACGGAGATTCTTCGGCATTACAGCCACACAGACTTTTAATTTTATTAGGTTAAAAAGTTTTTTTTCACAGCTCTTTATGCGGTATGACCGAGTCATCTTCAGTCTCTAAAATTAAATGATTTAATAGACTCAGAGAAAAATATAAAATTATTAACTAGATGTGTCGAGATTATGAAAAGTGTAAAAGGACTTGTTCAGCCCCTTGCTAAAACTAAATGGAAAGAGATTTATCAATAAAAAAAAAATAAAAAAAAAAATAAAAAATAAAAATCGATATAAATGATTGGAGCAGGGCTCTTCAAACAGTTTACTCCACGGTCCATTGCTTAAATATTATGGAAGCACATTACAAGCTTCTAAATAGATGGTATATGACACCCAATAAGATTCAGAAATTTTCAAAGGAAGAGATCTCTAGATGCTGGAGATGTGGAAATGAGGGAGAAAATGAATTACATATAGGGTGGGACTGTGCTCCGATCAGGGAAGCATGGGATCAATTCTTGGTTCAAATAAACAATCTTCTGGGTATCACGCACATTTGAACTCCAGATACTTTACTTTTACATTTAAATCTACCACAATTATCTAAAGAGAAGAAATGTTTGCTGATCCACACTTTGATGGCTTTCAAGATGTCCATTACTAAAAACTGGAAAAAAAGACATCAATTGACTCATGGCAGCATATTAAGGAAACTATTATAACCCAATGTAAAATGAAAGGGGTATAGCCTCCAATTTATGCATTAATACACGTCAATATGAGATCTGGGATAACTGGATAAAGTGTCTTGAAAGGCCAACACTTGCAAGAGCACTTTGACAACTATTAGATGGGAAACTCAGGGGGGAATTTATTACGATTTAAGATGGGCATAAACTATAATTTATGTAATAAAGGAAGTATTGTCAACTTTTAGGTTTGTATATTTGTCTATGAGTAGAGCTGGGAGTGTGGGGCATATGGCTCTTTGCACTTTCCCCTCTACCGATGTTTTTATGTCTGGAGTATAATTCTTTGAGAGTTGTATCACTGTATAATGATACTGATGATGTATATGCGATGGAACAATTTATGTGTACTTCGCTGTGTCTGTTTGTTTTTGAATTTTCTGTACTAAATGTAAAAATAATCAATAAACTATCTAAAATAAATAAAATTAAAAAAATTATATATATAAAAAGTCATATAAAATCCATTATAGCAGAGTTTATAAGATTAAACTAAATGCTTGCAAATATCATTAATAGGTTAACATACCTTTCTGAACATGTCATCATGTCAGCCTCTCTGTCATTTTAAGATGGAGCAGCATCTGTCTCCAAGTCTCTCCTCTCTTTCTTAACATTTTAAAAGTACACCTATTTATACCTTAGGTGTCTTCATTTTAGGGTCACCGTAGTTTATATATGGAAAAAAATAACACTTCCTTTACGTTATTTATTTTAGGACCTCCCTTAATTTGGCAAACATACAAGGCCATAACTAAAGGGTGCATACGTCATGGAAATTTTCCTGACTTAGTTCAAGATGGCATCTTAAAGTCTGGACATACTTATCTACTTAGGGTTACCACAGAATATTGTGTACTGCAAGAGTCGTAGCATAGCCTTGAACCTTGTTTATGCATTATTGTTATTGTATTTCGTCTGGGACAAAATGGCGTAAACATATTGCTATATTAGGTTATTGCTTAAAGAAACCGTTTTGAAAACAATATGTTCCATTTCTAACACCTTGTCCGTTTGCAATATCTCTTAAAGACAAAGTACACAGTTTAAGAAATATAACATTTCATTCTAAAACTTGTAATATTTGCATTTGCCCATAACACTTTCCACTCAATGACTAGTTTTGATAGCAACATATACCAGCCCAATTCAAATGTATATGCATTGTTTATTTGTTTGATACGCCTTTCTTAATAAATATTATTGAATGGCCGAAAGCAAGGAGTGTGGAATTATTCTTTTAATTATTAATTCCATACGTTTACTACAATCTGTATAAATCCTCTGACATATAAGAAGTCTTAAGTTTACAAAAAAGATTTTTCTGTTCTAAACAAGAGGATGCATTCTTGTATGAATCACCTTATGTGAGTGAAGATTTGAACTCTGTCTGAAACATTTCCCACATTCAGCACAAGAAAATGGTTTCTCAGCTGAATGAATCTTCATATGCTTCTTAAGATTTGACATTTCAGGAAAGTGTTCCCCACATTCAAAACAGAAAAATGGTTTCTCTCTTGTGTGAATCCTGTGATGTTTCTGAAAAGTTGACAATTGAGTAAAACATTTCTTGCATTCAGAACAAGAAAATGGTTTCTCTCCAGTGTGAATCCTCTGATGTTTCTTAAGAGTTGACATATGAGTAAAACATTTCTTGCATTCAGAACATGAAAATGGTTTCTCTCCTGTGTGAATCCTCTGATGTGCCTTAAGATTTGACTTGTGAGCAAAACATTTCCCACACGCAGAACAAGAAAATGGTTTCTCTCCTGTGTGACTCATTTGATGAGTCTTAAGAGTTGAAATATCAGTGAAATATTTCCCACATTCAGAACATGAAAATGTTTTTTCTCCTGTGTGAATCCTCATATGTACCCTAAGATATGACATTTTAGCAAAACATTTCCCACATTCAGAACAAGAAATTATATTCTCTTCTTTTGGAGCTCTCTTACGAGTGATAAAATGTGGTTTCTGCTTAAAACACTCATGTTCAATGTAATCTGTGCTGGTCAAAGTATTTCCTTTATTGACACGCTTATGTTTAACAAGCTCTGAATTGGTAAATGAAACCTTAGCACCATCAACACAGTTACCATTTCCTTTGTTTTGTGCTTCAGTATGATGAGTGGGGGTAAGAAGGTCTAAGATGGTGAGATTTCCATCTTGATATGAAGCTGATTCTTCCTTAACATGAGTAGATAGATACTCTGTCTGTGTATATTCTTTGGGTGTATAAATGTCAGATTCCCTGAGATTTCCTTGTTTGTGTGATGCGGATTCATTATTTGATGTATAGTCCATCTGTTTATCTCCTGTGGGTGTATAAACCTCGGAGCTGGTTAGAGTGCTGGCTTCAGGTGATGCAGATTCTTCCTTAATAAGGTTAGGTAGATATTCTGCCTCTGTATGTTCTGTGCCTGTATAAATATTATTGCTTATGAGAATTTGATTTTCTTTTGCTGCTGATTCACACTTTGATGTATAGTCCATTTGTATATCTCTATTGATTGTATAAATGGCAGCTTCGGCAACATTTGTTTCTTCCAATGAGACAGATTCCTCCTTGATATAAGTCGATGGATATTTTATCTGTGCATCTTCTGCAGGTGTATAAATGTCTGTGTCTGGGAGATTTCCTTCCTCACACGAGTCTGGTTCCTCCTTAATATGAGTAGATGGATCTTCAGTCTGTTTATGTTCTATGGGCGTATTCATGTCTCTGAGATTTACTTCCTCGGATTCTGTAGTTTCATGACTCAAAGATTTACTGCCTGGTGTACTGATTGCCACGCAGTTTATTTTTTGATTACATGTGATTTCGTTATCTTCGGTTACATAATCCGGAGAAGAAACTGAAGTGTACAATCCACTGATTTCATTTCTGTTTATGGAACCATCTACTGGAAAGAAAACACTTAAAATTAGAACATTTTCTTAACTGCAGTGGACTTACCAGGCTAGCTATAGATGTCTCAGGTGGTTACTTAAAGCGTCACTGTCATGGCCGAATGCCTTTTTTTTTTTTTAAATCTAACTGACCCTCTAATCACCCCCAAATGCCCCTAAGCCCTCCATTTTACCTATTTTGAAACTTTATTTTCTGCCCCGATTTGCGCCGCCATCTTTATGTGGGTAGAGGTAGTCACTGTGGGACACGTCATCTACCCACACTAGATAGCGCTGTGAAATTCCCGCACATGCCCAGTTGGGCATGCGGATGGGAATTTCATCTATTCATTCGTCAGAAAGACGTGGGAAAGTTCTTTGGAATTTTCCCACGCTGTGTAAAATGACAAAGAGCACTCTGATTGGCTTAGACCAACCAATCAGAGTGTCTACAGCCTAATTTCAGGGTGGGGCAAGGCTTTATAAGCCTTACCCCGCCCTGCGGAGCTCAGGCTACGCCGTGCCCGCCTGAAGATTGATAAAAAATTTACAGTCTTTTTTTTCTTTTTCATCAGGTTTTTTTTTTGCGCTCGGGCTTTTTATTTTACGTTCGAGTAGGATGTTTTTTTATTTGGCCTTTTTGGGGGCTGAAAAATGAAGATTTAAGAAAAAAAGAAGACGTCAAATGGTATTTCTTTACAGGTTAATTATTTTATTCCCCCCCTCACTATTTTTAGGGTAAGGGAGGTATGTAGGGGGTAACTTTTTATTTGGGTGGGGGGGGTGACTAAGGCCTAGTCACCTTGATTGGGGGGTGGGGGGAATTTTCATTTAGGGCCCGCACCCACCGCTCAGGGGTGGGGGGGGAGGACAATAGGTCCCGCCCCCATTATCTTTTAGGGCCCCCACCCACAGCTCAGGGTGGGGTGGGGTGGGGGCAAAGAAAGGGAAAAAAGGAGGGGGAGGGAGGAAGTGTAAAAGGTGCGAATTAGCACATGTATGCAATACCACTGGGTACATAACTCGAGCATATAGATCGGGTATATGTGAGCAGGTACATATTGCATGTTGACAGCATACATACAGTTACATGATAAGGGGTGTGGGTAGGAAAACCAGGCGTTTGCTAAGGGTGCTGTGGCTAAGTGATTTCTCCTACATTCTTTTTGAGTTGTATAGTTTTATCGAGGGATCCATGAGAACGTCTCGGGTAACAGTGTATAATAGTACTCTAGGTGGCATAGGAGTATGTATTCAGATGCCTAACCCTGCGTAAGTTCCCATAGAATATCTGGCGATTGCCCAGTGGCGTGAGTCACCAATTTCCAGGGTAACTTGTCACATAGCAGACACATCACATTTATTGATATTACAGATCTTCAGCTCTTGGAACCTGATCTTCATGTGTCCCATGTCGACAACATATTTTATATGAGTTTTTTGGGGGGAAAAGATTTGGGAATTGACGCTCATAAGAGCCTGGTTTGTCAAGTTCTACTGAGAGGTTCACAAGGAAAGGTGTTTAGGATTTCCATTCCCTGGCAATATAGCGTTGGGCTGTGAGCGCAATGTTCATAATTAGTTTTACTACTTTGCATGGCACGGAATTGGGTAAATCAAGGAGGAGATAGGTCTTTGGTGAGAAGGATATAGGGAGCTCCACATTTTTTTTAGAAATAAGGTGATTAATCTTCTTCCAAAAGTTTGTGAGGTCTGCATGTAGGCAAGAGCCTTCCTCAGTTTCACAGCGCCAACATGTGGCGGCTGTTTGGGGCAATATCTTATGCAGCCTGCTGGGTGCCAATTACCAACGGAACACGGTCTTAAAATTTGGTTTATTAAGAGCAGCTGATTTTATCAGTTTGTGATTCAATTTAGAAATGTTTTCCCATTGCTTCTGGGAGAGTGTGTATTGTAGATCAGTGTGCCATTGCTTTGCAGGATTAGATTCTGGGAATGTGATGTGGTCTGAGACACGTTTGTAGCACATGCAGATCGGTTTACATAAAGGATGCATCTTTTAATTTACACACAATTGTTCCCATTTTGTAATTGTAGCAGTTGAGAGTGGGTGGTGCCCATCCTAAGATGTCTAGTTAGGAAAGATTTTAGTTGTAAGTAGAAATAATGTGAGGATCGGAGGAGGTTATACTTTTTTTTTTTTTTTATATATATATATATTTTATTTTTGTTGGATTTTTTTTTTGTATGGATTTTTTTTTGTATGGATTTCTCCATATTTCAAGAACAGAGTATGACATTGTATTATAACATTGGAATAACATAAAACATAGTGTTAAGAAGAAAGAAAAAGAAAGATATAGCAACATCGCACCCCTGTATACAGGTATTACATTCTCAGTAACAGTTGTGTTTGGCCTAGATTACACATTGCTTTCATATCAGTCATGATAAACATTCAACATTGTCCTTTAATTCCTGTGTGTGTGTGTGTGTGATTTATTTCGTATCAAAGAATTATGTTGTGTTTGTTCTGGGTATCACCGTGTCTTAAGCCTATTATATCTAGGTAGTTTAATTGTTGGGAAAAGGAGGGGAAGACATCCCATGTTCCCCACTCCCCAAGCCTTATTCCCTGTCCTCTTTCTGGATTGCTTCCCCCCCTTTGGTCGGATGTGGTGGTTTTTAGTCTTCAGCCTGTCTACCTCTCAATAATTCTTTCCAGGGTTGCCATATGTCTTTGTATCTGTGATATTTGTCTAGAGATCCCCATCTGAGTTCCTCCATCTCATGGAAATGTTCTATTCTTTGATACCAATCTTTTTTAGAGGGCGGAATCGCCGATTTCCAGTGATACACTATTGAGCTTTTTGCCGCTGTCAGCATAAAGTAGACGAGGGAGTGTTTGAATTTACGGTGTGGTATTTTGAAATGGTATAAGAGGAGTGCCTCTGGGTTGAAGGGTACGGACGTGTCTATCACTAGATTGACAGCATTTGTTCATACTGAAATCTCTGCATAAGTGAGTCTTTCCCTTCTGTCAGTAGTGTGATTGAGGTCAATCCCCCCTCTGTCACCACCTCGTCCAGTGTAATATTTGCCTTCTTTTGTTCACCTCCCTGTGATGTCAGTTGGAAACCCCTTTTCCCTGCTATAAAAAGGGGTTTGTTTGTTATAGGGTATTTTGGAGACGGTGCTGGGGCTATGTCTGGGAAATTGTGTACTTTTTTCCATATTTGTAGAGTTGGTGTGTTACCGTCAGGTGTGGTGGTGTCGTCCAGTCATTAACTGAGGTCAGAAGCCATGGTATTGTCTTCAATGATTCACCTATCTGAGCTTGCTCTATTGTGACCCACCCTTTGAAAGTGTTTTGGTAGGACCAGTCTATAATACGGCCTACGTGTATTGCCTGGTAGTACAGCCAGATGTCCGGCAGGCCCACCCCCCCATCTCCTTAGGTCTAGTGAGTATATTGTATCTTATTCTTGGGCGTCTTTTGGCCCATATAAATTGTGTAAATAATGACTGAATCTTCTTAAAAAAGGTTCTTGGGATGGCGATGGGGAGAGTGTTCAGTAGGTATAGCAGTCTGGGGAGTATATTCATTTTTAGGATATTTACCCTCCCAAACCATCTGAAGTGTGGTTTATTCCAGGTTTCCAGATACGCACTGTAACGGAACCGCTGGCACCCCGACCGGGTACCTTCCGCCGACGGATGCTCCTAGTGCTTTTCGAGGACTCCAAGCACTCTGCCTGACACCATAACCACTGCAGACCCCACGAACCGCCGCAGCTTGGTTGGGGTCTCGCCGTCTCCACCCACTCTGGACCCAGGACCAGGGTCCAGCTTCCAGCAGGTCGACCTCTCTCCGAATTCCAGAGAGCAGGAACAGGAACAAGCTCTTAGCAGAGCTTAGTGATTATACCCTGGGGAGTATAGTGATTATAGCAATCCCCAGAGTGTAGTTTCTCCAATCCCCCAAACATGAGCCGAAACTTCATGAAGGTACAAGATGATCTGACTCCAATGAGCGTTTATTACTGCTTATATACAAGTTTTCAGGTCAGAGGCACACCCCTGGACCTGGTGGTAAACTGTGACAAAAGGGACACAAACCAATGGGAACACTAATTAACATGATAACACTCTCACATACACAATGAAATCCCTCCTCTCCATCCTGGAGATAATTGGCTTAAGGCACTGCAGTAAACTCAATTATCTCCAGGTACAGAAAATATCTACATTTAACACTAACAACAAAAATACGTAAAAGTACATAAAAATACATAATTCTTATTTTATTACACAGAACCCCCACATTTAACCTATCCCCAGATAGCTCGGATCTGAGCGCCCAATCTAGGTGAACAATAGACAGGAAACGGGGGAGGGGAAGAAACACACCTTCCCATGGATTCCAATGGGAAGAAACTGTCTTTAGAAGCCAATAAGCCCCAAATAGTCTTTTTTAAATGGTAATACACCCCAGGGCCATAGTCATGAGGAAGGAGGCTGGCAATCAGGCTCCTCCAAAAGCCGGGGGCAAAGGGCAGCTTGTCACCTAACAATCCAGGGACAAAAGGCATTTCGTCACACGCACTAATAGCTCCTAAGATTTGTGGGAAATTAGCTCCATATAATAGCTTATTGTGGGAAGTTATATTGACTCCTAAATATTTGATGGACTTTGTTGCCCATTGAAATGAATATCGTGTTTGTAGTCGTGCTTTGTCCTTATCTGGTAATGTAAGGTTCAGTTTTTCACATTTGTTGACATTTATTTTGAAGTTGGATAAGGCACTGTATTCATCCAAGAGGTCTAACAGTGTGGGGAGGGACTTGGTGGGGTTAGTGAGTGTAAATAATAAATCGTCTGCAAATGCAGATACTTTGTACTGGTGTTCACCCACCTTTATTCCCTCTACACCCGGCCTGTTCCTTACCGCATTTAGCAGAGGTTCCAATCCCAGAATAAATAGCAACGGAGACAGGGGGCACCCCTGTCTCGTGCCGTTTGTTATTTGGAATGGATCGGACAGTATTCCATTGATTTTTTAGCCTTGCCTATGGGTGAGTAGATTGCTTGGATCCACTGCATCCACCTTTTCCCAAAGCCTAGCGTTTCCAGCGTCGACAGGAGGAAACTCCAGTCCACCCTGTCGAACGCTTTTTCCGCGTCAAGAGCTAACATAATGGAGGGAGCTTTATTACCATGAGCTCCATGAATCAGGGCAATGATCTATGTGGTGTTATCTTTGGCTTCCCTGGAGTGGACAAATCCCGCCTGGTCAGGGTGGATTAAGGTTGGGAGCATAGGTTTTAATTGTAGTGCCAGCATCTTTGTAAAGATTTTTATATCTGCGTTAATTAACGAGATTGGTCTGTAATTGCCGCATATATCCGGGTTCTTCCCGGCCTTGTGGATAAGAGTGATATTGGCTTCCAGGCTTGGTTTGGGGATGGGTTTGTCAGGGCCTATGGAATTAATTGCATCTAGTAGGTGTTGGCCTAGCTCCTTCAGATACGTTTTATAGTACGTAGCCGAGTAGCCATCTGGGCCTGGACTTTTGCCCGAAGGGGTGGTTTTGACCGCGCATATGAGCTCGTTGAGAGTGAAGGGCTCATCTAGGGACCTGGTCAGTGTTTGGGGTAGTATTTTGTCGAATTTATCACTTAGGTATGCCTTGATCATGTCCTTGTCCTGTGAGGTCTTCGTTATATTGTAAAATGAGTGGTAGAACTCCCTAAATGTTTTTGCTATCTCTCCGTTTGATTGTACGATGTTATTTGCTGTTTTAATCTGGGGAATGTACGTTCTCTCCTGCCTATGCTTTAGTGCGTTGGCTAGGAATTTTCCACACCTATTCCCTTGGGCATAAAATAACTGTTTAGTCCATACCAGAGATTTTTTAGCCTTTGATTGTAGCAAAAGGGTTAGTTCAGACCTAAGGGATAGAAGTTTTCGATGATCAGATTCAGACATGGTTTTCTTATGCGCCTCTTCTAAGTTTATGTCCGTCAATAACTCTGTCTCTTAATTTGCATTTTTTTAAGAAAGGAACCCCATTTTATTAATTCCCCCCTTACTACACATTTATGTGCTTCCCACTGGAGGAAGGGAGTTGTGTCTTGTGTGTTATTGTCTTGAAAATATTGGGAGATGGTTTTGGCAATAGCCTGTTTTGCTGTCTCGTCATGTAAAATGGTGGTGTTTAGTTTTCACTGGCCTTTACCCTGAGCCAGGGAGGGAATTTTAAGTTGTATATGAACGGGGCATGACCGGATCAAGTGATATTGCCGATTGCTGCCGAGGTTACTAGTGATAGATCTCTATGCGTGGTGACGAAAAAGTCTATTCTTGTGTAGGTCGAGGCCGGTTTGGAGTAAAATGTGTAATCTTTTGTGGTGGGATGGAGTGCTCTCCAACAGTCTACCAATTGATGGCTGTGTAGTAGTCGTTTGTAGATGGTTAGGGTGTCGTGCTGTGCTGTCCTTTTGGGCATCTATAGATAGGTTAAAGTCGCCCCCTATAATTAAGGTCCCTGGGGTGAGTTGTTGAACCTTGTTCAATATTCTACGGAAGGTGTGACATTGTCGTGTGTTAGGAAGATAGATATTGACCAGGGTCACAGGGAAATTGCTAATCAATCACTGAAGAATAACGTATCAGCCTGATTCATCCACAAAGTGTTGGTGGTATACAAATGGTATCTTGGCCCCTATCAGAATTGCAACCCCGCGAGATTTGCTATGTGTGAAATTGTTGTAATATGCGTGGGGGTACTGCCTATTGGATAGTTTAGGTGCCGTAGGTCCCTTAAAGTGCTTTTCTTGCACGAATACTACATCAGCTTGTAGTCTATGGAAGTCCCTAAGTGCCATATTTCTCTTTTCGGGAGAGTTAAGTCCCCGGACATTGTATGAGAGTATTTTTATAGCATCTATGGTAGGTGAATGTTTCCTGGAAGAGGCCATGGTGGTATCTCTTGTGTCCATGGTAGCGTCGAGTTACAGTGAGGCGCAGGTGCCTGGTGGTGTATGCGATTTAAAGTAAAGAAACAACAAAATATCTAAACTGAAAATTAGCATAACTTTTTAACAGTGGACTTAGAAAAATGTGACTTCTAGGTCTCGAAATCACGTATTACAGTTAGTATCTTTACTAACTATACAGGAGTCGGTGCTTAGTTTGTCGCCGTCAGCCTTAGTAGCTGAGTCGGGAATATGTATCTGATAGTGTAAAAGATGTTAGTGCACCGCTCGTAACCTTATTCGGTAACCTGGGGTGTTAAGTATGTTGTTTCGTGTAATCAAAGAATGGATTGTGGCTTCCAGTCGTGTTTTTCCCGTTGGTATGTTAGTTTGTGTTACGGTTCTCTGCAACCGTTCATAATTACACTTATGTTTTAGCGCCGCCAGGCGCCGTAAGTAATGCATTTGGGTCTAATGTTGATTATCCTTGTCAAGTATTTCTTCTGAGTACAGCTGCTCTTCCATGTAGGTGTTGGTATTATATATTTTTTATTTTTTTTATTATTTAGCATGAATGAGCAATTTGCATAATATGTACATTAAGGAAGCATTATTTCTCTTATGCTATGGTATTAAGAAATATAAATGCTTCCTCCCCTTTACCCTTACCGAGCTTAACAATCTCCCTCAGTGTGTAGGCGTTGTCCTGGTAGGGTTCTCCCAGAGTTTAACTGAACTTTGCTTCTAAATCATTTTGATTATTATTACTATTAATTTTTTTTATTTTTTTTGAAGTAACAGAAATAGAAGAAAGTTTGTCCCCCCCTTACCCCTCTGTTCTTCCCCTTTTGAACCCGACCCCCCCCTTTCCTAGGAAATTCAGTCCCATATTGGTCGCCCAGCATTAATGTGTGGTGGACTATGTGTGCCCATTTCCCACATTACAATATCTGGTGCAGGATATAATACTTGCGCCTTCAGGTGTATGCGCCATCCGATGCTGTTCCACTCGAGTTTGTATTAAGTCCCTATCCTGGTCTTGGGTCATCCATCCAGGGAAATGAAAAAGTCTCTGGGGTGAGATAAGTCTCTCCTTTGGTGGGTGTCTAAGTGGCTGAGTAAGAGATAGTTCGTGAGGTCAGGGTGTAGAGTGTCCAATTCAAGTGTCTCGTCCCGCTGCCCTTGGTCTGGAAGCTGGTGTGAAGGGAAGCCTTTTCCCGGGTGTCCTTCTCCTCTCCGCTGTACCTCTCCATCGGGATCGCTGTGGTAGGGCTTGTATAGCTGCTTGTGACCAGGGGTCATACCAGTCCTGGACCTCCATTTGTGGAAGATCAAATGCCTTTATGAAATCTGGCACATCTTGTATTGTTGCGATGCTGTGCTGCACTCCTTGGTGTGAGGCGGTTAGTGAGAAAGGGTAACCCCAGCGGTAGCGAATTTCTTTGGCATGTAAAGCTTGGACAATAGGCTTCAGGGCCCTCCTCCCCTGGAGAGTTTGCCATGCCAGGTCTGGTAGTATCTGGATTTGTGTAGCAAACATGGTTAAGGCCGGTGAGTTTCTTGCCTGCTTCAGTATGTCCTCTTTTAGGGTATAGTAGTGGATTCTGCATACTATGTCCCTGGGGGTCTCTTGTGGCAATCCCCTGGGTCTCGCAGCCCTGTGCGCCCTGTCCATCAATATCGGGGTATCTGGGGCGCGTTTCAGTATGTTGTTAAATAGGGCCTGGAGAATATCCTTAATATTTTCTAATTCCCCTTGTGCCTCCGGTACCCCTCTGACACGGAGGTTATTTCTCCTGCCACAGTTGTCGAGGTCTTCTGTGTGGCGTATAATCTGTACCAGTTTGGATTCGTGTGCATCCTACCTCTGTTCTATATTGTGCAGTCTGAGTTGTATGTTGTCTCTGTCCCCTTCTAGGTCTCCCACCCGGAGCCCTATCTGGCATACCTCTGTGGTGATGGAGGACAGTCTTTCCTGCATGGAGGTTTCCAGCTTTGCCAGCATGGAGGCCATGTCCTATTTTGAAGGTAGGTTTTGCAGCATCTCCTAGAGTGTTGCGTTTCCAGACGGAAAGAGAGAGTCGGAGCTTGCTGGGCTCGCCGGCGGGGAGACACGTGGCGAAGATGGCGGCGCCTCTGTGTCAGGCTCCGCTAGCACTCTCACCTTGTCTCTAAAAAAAATAAATAAAAAATAAATAAATTAAAAAAAATAAATAAATCGGTCGAGATCCCCGTTTTTTTTGCTGGAACCGGGACCTGGGGTGTCTTGGGAGGTTGGTTGCTTCTTTTTGTTGCCCATCTTTCTACCAATCTGTCGCATGGCGGCTTTAATATGCACAGAGGAACGGGAGCTTCGCAGAGATGCGACCGTTCACATGCAGAGTCAGGCCACGCCCCCCGGGAGGAGGTTATACCTTAATGTTAAGGTTTGATAATCCAATAACTCCGTTACTCATACAAGTGGTATAGGTGAGTTACTTTCCTTTCCAACCAAGGTTTTGCATTGAACGTTGGGACCCAGTACGGTAGTGCTGCTATGGGGGTCGCTAGTGACAGAGGGGCATTAGCAGACATCTGTTTTTCTCCCAAACCTGGAGTGTCAAGGCAATCGAGAGTGAGATGTGGAAGTGGCTAGGAGCAAATGTTTAGGGAGCCAGATGAGATTGTGGACCTCGTGACTATGTAGTATGCTGTGTTGTTCTAACTGAGCCCACTGGGGGTGATGCATGGTAGTATTGGTGTACATTGTAGTGAGACCTCCTTGCAACGTAGGAGCTTGCAGTAGTTTTGTTGCCAACTGTGGTCTCCCACCAGCCAAAATAAATTTGTTCAGTTCTGTTTGAAAGAAGCGTTTGGGAGAGGAATTGGTAATGTACAGAAGAGGTATTGCAACCGTGGTAGAATGGACATCTTAAAAGCAGCTACTCTCTCCACCCATGTGAGGAACAGAGGTGTCCACCTATGGAGCAGGTGCCTACAGTCGTTCCACAATTTAATATAGTTTGTGAAATACAGGATTTTTGTGAACACAATTCCGAGATATTTTATACTAATCGTCTGCCATTCAAAAGAGTACGTTTGTTGGAGAGACTCGCTAACTGTTGTGGGAATACCTACACACATAGCCTACGTTTTAGTGGTGTTAAAAAAATAGCAGGAAACTGTTCCATACTGTTGGCTTAGATCCATTAATCGGGGTAGGGACTCTTGCTGTTTTGTGATTTATAGTAGCATGGCATGTTCCCAACAGAGTGGAGGGATTATTGGGATGACCCAGCCATATGGTCCATATTTGTACCAATGACAAAGTCAGAGGAAAATGGAAGGTCCTAAAGAATGAGTTCAGGGAACTAGGAAGTAAGCTAAAGAAAGGGCCTCCAAGGTAATACTTTCAGAAATATTACCTGTGCCGCGCACTACAGCAGAAAGGCAGCAGGAGATTAGAGAGGTCAATGCATGGCTGAAGTCTTGGTGCAGGAAAGTGGGTTTGGGGTTTTTAGAGCACTGGGCAGATTTTGCGCTTGGATACAACCTGTATAGTTGTGATTGCTTGCCACTAAACGGAAGAGGGTCTGCTGTGCAAGGAGCCTATATAACAAAATGGGGGAACTAGAGGCAATGGTATACACTAAACAATATGATTGATATAATAGGCATAACAGAAACATGGTGGGATGAGACACATGACTGGGCAGTTAACTTAAATGGGTACACGTTATTTAGGACAGGAAAAACAAGAAGGGTGGTGGGGTACGTTTGTATGTCAACCATGAGTTAAAGTCAAATCTCAGGCATGTGGAGTGTGACTAGGAAAATGTGGAATCTGCTTGGGGCAATCAAAGAGAAATCAATTATTGATTGGGATAGGTTATAAACCACCTAATGTAAATATTAATGAGGAAGAACAGCTGTCAGAGCAAATTGGGAAAGCTGCAAATCGGGGTAATATGTTAATTACTGGAGATTCTAATTACCCGGACATATATTGGGATAGAGTGACTAGTGCTTCAGCAAGGGGAATCAGGTTTTTGAATGTTTTAAGGGACACATTTATGTCACAACTGGTACAAGCACCAACTAGAAAGGATGCTTGTCTGAATCTCGTTAAAACAAACAATGTTGAACTTTTGACCAACATTCAAGTAGGGGAGCATTTGGGAAATAGTGATTACAATATGGTATTTTTTAAATAAACTCAAAAAAACAAAGCACGTGGGTTATACTAAAACGTATAAATAAAAAAAAAAAACAATTTCAATAACATTAGGGCAACATACTGACTTGAATAAACTCCTTAGTGATAAAAACACTGAGAATAAATGGAAACTATTCAAACAAATATTAGAGAGGTAAATTTCTCAGTATGTCCCATTGGGTAATAAATATAAAAAACAAATTGAAACCAATGTGGCTTAGTAGAGAAGTAAAACTAGATTAAAAATAAGAAAAGGGCATTTAACGCATTTAAAATGGGAAAAATCAGAGGTATCCTATATAAGGAAGCCAATAATGCTTGCAAAAAGGCAATTAAATTGGCTAAACTAGAAAATGAGAGATTGATAGCCAAAGAATGCAAAATTAACCCTAAATTTTTTTCAAGTACATCAATTCTAAAAAAGAAAATTAAAAATAATGAGTGTAGGTACATTGGAAACAGAGATGGGTTTGTTACCTAATGAAGACCAGGAAAAAGCAGAAATTTTAAATAACTTTCTTCAGTATATATTAATGAGGATCCTATGGCAAGAGATATGCAAATGATTGCTGCAAAGAACTTGCAGATAACCTGTGATTGGATGACTCGAGACAAGGTGCTACAGCAGTTAAAGAAAATTAATTTAAATAAAGCTCCGGGGCCTAACGGTATTCACCCACTAGTACTTAAGGAGCTAAGATTCTTTTGTTTCAGGTGTTGTACCGGAGGATTGGAGGAAGGCAGATGTTGTTCCTATATTTAAAAAGGATTCAGAATCCTTGCCTGGAAATTATAGACTTGTGAACTTAACTTATGTGACTGGGAAAATATTTGAAGCGCTTTTAAGGGATAATATTCAGGAATTCATTGGGAAGAACTTTGTTATTAGCAATAATCAGTATGGTTTTATAAAACATAGGTCATGTCAAACTAACCTAATTACATTCTACGAAGAAATAAGTAAAAGTATAGATCAGGGTGTTGCAGTGGATTTGATCTACATGGATTTTGCCAAGGCAACTGATACGGTTCCACACAATAGGTTAGTCTTCAAACTAAAAGAAATTGGTCTAGAAGAATATTCTTGTTCTTGGGTAGAACATTGGCTTAAGGATAGAGTTCAACGAGTTGTCATTTATGGTAAATTTTCAGGCTGGACAAAAGTGGTAAGTGTTGTCCTTCAGGGTTCTGTTTTGGGACTGCTTCTATTTAACATAGTTATAAATGATCTTGAAATAGGCATTGAAAGCTATGTATCAGTGTTTGCAGATGACAAAACTTTGTAAAGTAATAAAATGTGAGAAGGATATTACTTTGCTGCAGAGGGATTTGGATAGATTGGGGGACTGGGCACTAAAATGACAGATTAAATTTAACGTAGAGAAATGCAAAGTTATGCACTTCGAGGTTAAGAATGCACATGCAACTTACACTATAAATGGTAGTGAACTGGGGATAACCACACACGAGAAGGATTTGGGAATTGTTATAGACAACAAATTAGGCAGCAATATGCAATGTCAATCTGCAGTTGCCAAGGCCAGTATGAATTTGTCAAGTATAAATAGGGGCATAAATTCTCGGGATGAAAATATAATTTTGCCTCTTTATAAACAGCTGGTAAGACCACATCTTGAATATGCTGTGCAATTTTGGGCACATGTTCTAAAGAAGGATATCACGGCACTAGAAAAAGTGCAGAGACGAGCTAGAAAATTGATAACAGGAGGGGGCGTGGCCTAACCCCAGAGCAGGACGTTGGCCTCCCCAGCTCCTGCCAAACAAGGGAAATAAAGCAACATTTCGCCCACAAAACGGCAATAAAATGAAACTAGGTCACGAAGCAATTGACGACATCGAAGGGAACAAAATGATACCTTAAATGAGTCGCTTCAATTGATGCGCACCCGACATGTGCATGAGGCCTACAAGCGTGATAGGCGCGGGAGAGGCGGCCGCTATCCTACCGCCGAGACAAGCAGTAACTATAACCTTGGGCCTGCGCGCAACCCCCCTCTGGGCCGGCGGGGGGATATCCATGTCCATCTCCACACGTTCCCCAAGCACAACAGGGAGACCTCTGACTCTGCTCGAGGCCCTGAACATACAACCGGAGAAACTCCCAAAATGGCCTTCATCACCTCCGACCCACTAGGTGCATGGCTCGAAACGGAAAGTCGGCTGAACAAAATCTTCCCCGCCTTCTGGGTGCAATGGGAGGCCCGCATGCAACCTCTACCGCCAGTGTCAATGACCCAACCCAATGACATACCTCGGGTCCCGACAAGTATGACCAAGCACCCCCCCCCCTTAACCGCACACCAGCACGTAACCAGCACCAGCGAGGGGCTTTCAGGGGGTCATGCCAACGGAGACCGGCAGAGAGCAGAGGCAGACCGAAGCCGGCCGAGTGGAGAGGTGGGAAACAGCACCGCAATGGCACAGACGTCGACCCAAGACAAGCTCAGCCCTTGGCCCTGAGGACACAGGGGGTCGTAACCTCAAGCAAGGCTACCGACTCCAGGTACTCACCACTCAGTGACGTAGACGACTGCAGGCAGAAGAGTCCTGAGACCCTGAGCAGCATGGCGGGAGCGGATGGCCAATGCACAGAGCCACTTTGGGGGACAGTGGCATACCAGCAGCTGACGTGGGCTAAGTGACTCTCGAGATCTTTAAGCTAACTGTCCTACTCATACCGAGCTATTTACTGTTGGAAAGCCTAGCACAGTTAATTTTAACAGCGCTTTATTGTTTTGGGCTTTGCCTATTGGGTACCCCTTTACGCTATATTTAACACAGGACTTAACTGGATGAGCGCCAAGAGCAAGACTGGTCTTCCATGTCTGTGATTTTCAGAGTTTGTGTTGTTATTATTTCCTCTATCTCCTTTAGCTTGTCAGCCAAGCGGTTATGAGCCCCTGCAAATTCCCCCAGCTTGTTCTCCATGTGGGAGGTTCTCTGGCTTTTTTCCTGTATCTCCTTGCGGAGGTATGCAGATAATGTTCGTAGTTTGGCTGTGATATTTTGCCTGCATTGTAGTCAAAAATTCTGCTATAATGCCCTGCATTTGGGATTCTGTCACCGGGTTGTCCTCTTGAAACAGTTCAAGAGAGGCTGTCTGCGAGATATAGCCCTCGCCCCCATCTTGGGATGCGCCAGGGCCTTATCTGCTCTTCTGTGTTGCAGTTTTTGCCAGAAAGAAGGTCGCTTTATTCGCCTTTGTCTGCTTTGCTTTCTGTCTCTGGGACATGTTTGCAGCGGTGGGCTGAAGCAGCGTCGGTAGGTTGCTCTGTTTATCAATTATTTGCGCCCCTTGCAGCTTGTACCTCGGAAGCGCTAAAGAGAAGCGTCCCTGCGATTCAAGCATCAGGCCACTCACCCTTAAAATGTTTTATTGAGTATAGGGAAGGGGGTTAAAGAATAATGTCAATAGTACATTATTCAAAGAAAAAAAGTGTTGGAGAAACCCATTATATTAATGCATTTTGGAATACGGAACCCCCAATGCCACTTATACATTAAATGGTGTTGAGTTAGGGATAACATAAATGAAAAGGACTTAAGAACCATTACAGATCACAAACTAGGAATGCATGTCTGCCATTGCATAAGCTACTAAGGTGCTTTTGTACATAAAAAACTAGTAAGGGGGATGGAAAACATTAGTTATAAGAGGTTGTGTTATTAGATTCTAAAGTTGTCTTGAATGCTGCTTTTGCATAAACAGAATATTCAAGGATATAACTGACATATATGTAAACAGGTTGTTGATTCAAGTAGAATTCTGATTGCCATTACAGTCAGGATTCAGGAAGGATTTTTTTCCCCTCTTTGTGGCATAATTGGAAAAAGCTACACTTGTTTTGTTTTTTTTGCCTTAATTCGGATCAACAGCATAAAAGCTTCAGGGTTGAACTTGATGGGCCTTAGTCACTTTTTTCATGTACTTATGTAAATGCCACCGGGCAGATGATCAGAAGGAGCATTATTATCAGAGAATTCTAAAGTCATAATCTCAGATTAGAATGGTTCAATTTGAAAAGATCTCTATTTCTTATCCACAAGCAATCCATTAATATTATTGTACTACTTATCTATTGCCGTGGCAAGTCTTCATTGATTTACAAAGTGAATTTCTACCTAGAATGCAGAAGAACTTGTAGAGGCTGGATAAACCAGGATGGCTTCTAGTCCAGTAGGCCTCAACTTTCCTGAAACATGCAGCACTGTCCAGGAAGAATACCCTATGACTGAATTAGTAGCTAAATCCATGAGAATTCCCAGTGACTTCAGAGAACATCCTAACTGGAGGGGAGGAATTGCAAACATTCAGTGGCCACCACATGCGGCTTGTATAACATCATCTCTGTGATCCATATAAAAGATAATAAACCAAATAATTTTGTTCCTGCAGCTTACAAAATAACTGTAATAACTGTACAGATATCACACTGTGTACCGGGTGTTTGATGATATAAGTTAATAATATCTGCTCTATAACCAAACACAATGTTTATTAAACTTTGTCTCACCCAAGGAGATGAGGGATTGGTGACTCTCCATCACTTCCTTGTAAGTTTCATTTTGCCCTTTTAAATGCTTCCAAACCTACAAGAAATAACAGACATTGAGATCCCAACATCTTTATCCAGTCACCATCCACACACATCCCTTGGTTTTACTCTATGATGTCCCATTCCCAGCAGCCTCACCTCTCCAGTCAGCAGGTGGATGATCTGATTGGTCAGTTCCAGGATGTTCTGCTCATTGTTTCCCTCATGTATCAGTGAGCGAGGTGGACACACCATGCTGGAGATCTGGGTCTTGCAGGATCCTCTTAACACACAGGGACTGCTTCTCTGTATTGTAGGATCGTCAGATTTCTTCATAACAATGTAATCCTACACATAAAGAAACATGTATTAAAATATCTCTCCTATAAGCCTATACTTCACTCGTTACACAGAACGTCACTTTGTTACCTTGGAGTTATTTATAAAGTTGTTTCATTTTTTCCTGGAAGGGAATCCTCTTAATCCTGCCTGTATGTGCTTCTATCACCCACCTCTGTCACTGCTACCCCTGTCTGTGTGTGCGATGTTGGCCTTCTCCATCATAAAGTCCTGTATAGTGCACAGGGTTGAGAAATGCTATGCTAGGCAACCTGTTTATAATCATGTCTTATAATCATCATAATCCCCCCATTTATACCATGACCAAACTTTAAAAAATCTCAGTAGGGCAACCCAGCACTGCTAATGACCCACAATCTTATATGTTTTATTTCTACATTCACACATGGTCTACCTGGCTACTATAATAGATTTATTAATCACATGTTTATTAAATATCTACCCAGTACCTACTTTACAAATCTCTCTCATAATACCGTATATACTTGAGTATAAGCCGAGTTTTTCAGCACATTTTTTTGTGCTGAAAAACCCCAACTCGGCTTATACTCGAGTCACTGTCTGGATTATGGCAATTTACATTGCCATAATACAGACTGGGGGCTGGCAGCGAGCGCTTACCTCTCCTGCAGCTCTCTCCTCCTCCACGCCGGTCCGGTCAGCTCCCAGTGTAAGTCTCGCGAGAGCCACGGGGTCATAGTGCGGCTCTCGCGAGACTTACAGTGTGAGCTGACAGAAGAGCTGCACGGACCGGCGCGGAGGAGGAGAGAGCTGACAGGAGCAGTAAGCACTCGCTGCCAGCCCCTCTCTTCCCCCCACTGAACTGCCAATGCCACTGGACCACCAGGGAAGGAGAGCCCCCCTCCCTGCCATGTATCAAGCAGGGAGGGAGGGACGAAAAATAAATAAATTAATAATATATAAATATAAATAATAAAAAAAATAAAAAAAAATAACAAAAAAAATTAAAATAATAATAAATGACACACTGCATCACATACACACACACTGCACCCATACACACACACACTACACTCATACACACACTGCAAATAAATATTCAATTAATATAATTTTTTTAGTATCTAATTTTATTTAGAAATTTACCAGTAGCTGCTGCATTTCCCACCCTAGTCTTATACTCGAGTCAATACGTTTTCCCACTTTTTTGGGATAAAATTAGGGGCCTCGGCTTATATTCGGGTCGGCTTATACTCTAGTATATACGGTAAGTCTCAAATCCATGCAAACGCACAGGATAAAAGTGTGTAGTTGCTGTGATGTTCCCAGAATCCCTCACCTCTCCAGTCAGCAGGTAGTTGACCTCCAGGGTCAGATCCAGGATCCTCTCCGTCATCTGATTCCGGTTTGTGTTTGTCATCATTAAGCCAATCAGGCAGCCTGAGAACAGGAAATAGAATATTCTGTAATTACAGATACATAGTGTATTTCAATGGATACAATAAATACATTATATACACAGCATATACCTGGGGCTGTACCTTCTATACATTTTCTATACATTATAATTTATTATTTATAAAGCGCCAGCATATTCAGCAGCCCTGTAGAATGGGTGACTAACAAACAAGATTTTATAACAAGGTGAATTGGACGCACAGGAAGACGTGCTCCAGCGATCTAACATTCTACAGGGAGTGGGATAAAGTGACACAAAGTAATGGTAGGATATACAAGTAGGTTGCTAGAATAGTTTATGATGAATGTCTAATTATTATTTTATTTTTTGGATGACTTGCAGGAGACAAAGGTGGGTTACCAAGGGGCCGGGAGGGAAATCTTTTATGATTTTTATTGATCAAGATTTAACACAAAGTGAACTGGCCACTCGGGGTGGAAGGGTGGAGGGCTTCGTCAGAGGCTTCCCGAGTATGTCCGCAAGGACGAGGCATACTGTGCCTACGCCCCCATCTGAAGACACACATTAGGTAGAGCCACCTAACCATAAGACGGTGGTGACAAGCCCCTCTCACACAGGCTGCACCTGCAGACAGGAAAACAAATACTAACAAATAAAAAAAATTAAAAATAATGAAATATGTATAATAAGTACACCGTTATGTAGACATCACTCTGTAGGACAACATCATTAAGGTTGCAAACAGCTTTTTCACCCACTAAGAGTTAGCATGCTGACCTGGACGCGGGAATTCCCCTCCACTAACGCACTGGGGAGACATAGCGGTGTCTTACTGATAGGGCACACAACACTATCCGGCCGCGTGTAAAGACGGATCTAAGGAGAGCACCACTCAGAGTGCCATAGACTTCAACAAATGAATGAGCGGAGGTCCCTGACGTAACCCATAACACAGGTGACTTACCCATACTCCCTGTCGAGAATGATAGATAGACCCAACACGAAAAAAAATCAAGGGCTACACACTGGTGGAAAACACCCCACACCTCCTGGACCGAAAAATAGTGGGGACACCCCTCACGACTGATTCGGTCGTAAACTCTGCCAGACGCAGAGGCTGTATATTTATTTCCCAAGTTCTGTGTAGATCCCCTTCCCTCTCTCCCCCACGACATGCATCCCTATTGGCCCTCAGACACCGAACAAGCAAAAGGCAAGGGCCCAGAGCTCCTACACCCCCCTCACGGACACCACTAGCAGCCTCAAAGCTGACCCTATGGCTAGAACTCAGTGAGAATCAAGTCACCCTAATCCGCACAAGGGCTATAACGCAACCCATTTTAAGCCTTAACAATCAAGCTAAGCCCCCGAACGTTTAAGATTCTCTTCTTGAATGTCAATGTCTTAAACAGTTCACATAAACGCAGTCCAGCAATTAAAAATATGCACAAATCCCAAGCTGCAGTAATTTGTTTCCAAGAGACCCACCTATGCACCCGCAAACCACCAAAAATCCACACCAAAAGATACCCCCAAGCCTTTCACGCGTATTCCCCGAACAAATCAAAAGGGGTCTCAATACTCTTCCACTCACATTGAGTATTCGAAACTAGTTCACAATAGACAGATAAGGCGGGGCACCTCCTAAATCTGGTGGGCACACTGAATGGTATTAACATGACGAAAAGCATCCCTTTATGCACACAATGACGGACAGGTGTCCTTCCTTTGCAAACCGCTCTAAAAAAATTGACGTAATGAAACAAGGCCACATCATAATAGGTGGGGACTTTAATTGTAGTCTAGACCCCAAGATGTATATCAAACGTGAACATAAAAATCCCACAGCTACAGCATGCGCAAACAGCAAACTGCTGACCGCCCTAGCGTTTGAGCTAGACCTATATGACACTTGGCGTAACAAATACCCAACAGGCAGAGATTACACTTACTTTTCACCGACCCACTCGACATACGCATAGACCTTATCATGGTGGACAAACACACTCTTACAGATATAGCAGAAGTCGACATAGGATTACAGACATGGTCAGATCATGCCCCTGTCACTTTTTACCTTTATTACCCTATACCCAGCACGAGGGAGGGGAAAATGGAGACTGAACGAGGGGCTCCTAGACGACCCCGTCGCCCTACAAACGATCCTCAAGACTACGTCCGACTATTTTAGGGAAAACGCGACAGAGGACGTTACCATACAATCACAATGGGCAGCACACAAAACTGTAGTCAGGGGGGTACTGACACAAATTGGGTCCCGCCAAAAAAGAGGAAGCATAATGAAGATGTAGTTTGCCTAACCCTCGAACTTACCGAGTTAGAAACGAAAAACAAAACAAACCCATCCACCAACCTAAACGCAGACATTGCCCGCATACAAAGAGACCTACACACACACAATCACTACAAACCATGGAGAGGAGAATGAGGGCTTTACAAAACTGGCGGACGAGTACCAAGATGCCAGAAGGGCACAGCGGGCACAGTCACGGCCCACCTCGGGGGCGGCTACCACACCTCCCACTGTTGCCTCCACCCCATCACTGCGTCCTGGTGGTGGGAACTACCAAACTCCTCCACGGTACAACAATGCCCGATCTTTCATCAGGTGCCACACGTGTAACCAGCAGGGCCACATGCAGAGAGACTGTCCCAGGAACAGAAACCGCTCCACGTGGAATACCCCAACCAATTCCCCTGCAAACCGGGCAGCGGTACACTGCTACCAGAGTGAGCCCCGACAACCTCACTTTTGGGCCGGGTCCAAAGAAGAACCTTTGGGCACCCTCCACGAGGTTAACCCAATACAAGCGGCTGCAGACAACCGACAGGGACACCGCCAAGGGGTGCACGTAGAGGGAAAACGCCTCCAGAGTCTGCGCGACTCTGGGGCCACCATAACTCTGGTGCGCAATCACCTAGTTCCCAAGAACCAGCTCACTGGAGAATATGTGGCAGTTCGGGTGGCAGGGGGAGCTATTTACAAAATTCCTACTGCCAAGGGACATTTGGATTGGGGAGCGGGGTCAGGGAATGTGGAAGTGGGCCTCATGCAGGATCTACCCGCTGATGTCATCCTGGGCAACGACTTGGGGGAGCTGACCTCCGCTTTTGTTTCTCAGCACCCCGCGCAGGAAGCGCTACCCGTGGTAACACGGCAGCAGGCTCGCACTACCGCATCTTCTGAACACTCTGAGGCTCAGGTAAGCAACAGTCCTACACCCCCTTTCGTCCCCTGGGCTCCCCCCTTAGAATTTGGTACTGAAGTAGTCACCGACGCGTCCTTGCAGGTATACCGGGATAGGGTTACGCAGAATCAGGCGGGGTTAGAGGGGGAGAGATATGCTTGGGAGAAAGGATTATTGTATAGGTACGCAGAGAAGGTAGTAGCAGGATCTGAACCCATGACCCTCACACAATTAGTAGTGCCCAAAAAGTACAGACAAGAGTTGTTGCGTATTGCCCACGACATCCCTTTGTCAGGACACCTAGGCGCCAGTAGGACGAAACACCGTTTGACCCAAAACTTCTTTTGGCCAGGGGTCTCCAAAGATATCTGGCAGTATTGCCAAACTTGCGATACGTGCCAGGGGGTAGGGAAGAGAGGAGACCGATACAAGGCAAAAATGCACTCCCTTCCCATAATAAATGAGCCCTTTAGTAGGGTGGCCGTTGATATAATTGGACCCCTAGCAAAACCCAGTCCGTCCGGGAAAAAGTACATCCTAACAGTAGTAGACTATGCTACCCGGTACCCAGAGGCAGTGGCCCTAACTAATATCCATGCCGAAACCATAGTGGATGCCCTGATCCGGATATTCTCCAGAATGGGGTTTCCTAAGGAGATTATCTCGGATCTGGGTACCCAATTCACAGCTGAAGTCACTCATCAGTTATGGAGAACATGTGGGGTGAAACCTATTGTAAACTCAGCGTATCACCCCCAGTCCAATGGGCTCTGTGAATGTTTCAACGGAACATTAAAGCAAATGCTCCGTACGTTCATGGATACCCAGAAGGACTGGGAAAGGATTCTTCCCCATCTGCTCTTCGCTTACCGAGAGGTACCCCAGGAGTCCACAGGGTTCTCGCCATTCGAATTACTATTCGGAAGGAGAGTGCGGGGTCCTTTGGACCTCATTAGGGAACACTGCCCCCTTACACACACATTGCCCCACACACTGCCCCCATACACACACACTGCCCCCCAAAAACCCCCCACATACACACACACACACACTGCCCCCCATACACACACTCTGCCCCCCCATACACATACACTCTACACACATACACTATCCCCATACACACACACTGTATGGACTCAGCAGTCTGTGTGTGTGTGTATGGACTCAGCAGTCTGTGTGTGTGTGTATGGACTCAGCAGTCTGTGTGTGTGTGTATGGACTCAGCAGAGTCTGTGTGTTTGTGTGTGTATGGACTTAGCAGTCTGTGTGTGTGTATGGACTCAGCAGAGTGTGTGTGTTTGTGTGTATGGACTCAGCAGAGTGTGTGTGTGTGTGTATGGACTCAGCAGTCTGTGTGTGTACGGATTCAGTAGAGTCTGTGTGTGTGTACGGACTCAGCAGAGTCTGTGTGTGTGTACGGACTCAGCAGAGTCTGTGTGTGTGTATGGACTCAGCAGAGTCTGTGTGTGTGTATGGACTCAGCAGAGTCTGTGTGTGTGTATGGACTCAGCAGTCTGTGTGTATGTATGGACTCAGCAGAGTGTGTGTGTGTGTATGGACTCAGCAGTCTGTGTGTGTGTATGGACTCAGCAGTCTGTGTGTGTACGGACTCAGCAGAGTCTCTGTGTGTGTATGGACACAGCAGTCTGTTTGTGTTTGTGTATGGACTCAGCAGTCTGTGTGTGCGTGTGTATGGACTCAGCAGAGTCTGTGTGTGTATGTGTATGGACTCAGCAATCTGTGTATGTGTGTGTATGGACTCAGCAATCTGTGTGTGTGTGTGTGTATGGACTCAGCAGTCTATTAATAATTAAAATTCCTGTGAGTTGTTGTATAGGAAGGGCCCCAGTGTATTGCTTTGCCCAGGGGCCCTTAACTCTGTTAAAATGGTACTGCTTGTGTGTGTCAGTGAGCTTCTATTTAGTGAGCATGTGTGTGTCAGTGAGCTTGTCTTTAGTGAGCTTGTGTGTGTGTTGTGTGTGTGTCCCTGAACTTCTTTGTAGTGAGCATTCTGTTTATACAAGTGAGTGTCTGTAGTAAGCTTGGGTGTGAGTCAGAGAGTTTTGTCTGTCAGTAAGCCAATTTGCGCATGTCAGTGAGCCTGTGTGCTTACTGTACTATATATATATATATATATATATATATATATATATATATATATATATATATATATATATATATATATATATATATATAAGAAAGTAAAGGGAGCACACTAGGACTACTTCTGAGTGGGAAAAAAAAAGTAGTATTTACTGTATTATAAAATAATACATGTCCTGTGCAGAGTACAGAAAATTGACGTTTCGACCCTCCTGGGGTCTTTATCAAGATCACAGTGAAACATTAATGTCTACAACAATATATACATATAAGTAAAATAGAGCTTACCAATGAGATGATCAGACAGCCGGCGGGCTGAAGAACCCGGAAGTGAGGAACCCACGTGGGAGCGTGCATGTGACATGCATGAGCGTGCATGTGACCGGGTTGCTAGGCAACCTTAGAAACAATGCATCAACTCCATTCACACATAGAAACAGAATCAAAGAGATGCATGTTGGTTATGGAGGAAATACTTACTATGATCACCAAGATAAGATCGATCTGATAGTGAACTGAGTGTGGTTGGAGTGAACAAAAAATCTATCAGTGTAAAAAAATGTGAACAAAATGTAGCAAATACGAAACAGATCGATAAATTTCTAAGGTGTAATAAAACTAACTTTAAACAAAGCTGTATATCTTATAATGTTGTTTATCCAATAGTTATATATAACACTATTGGAGAATAGAGAGATATTATATAAATATATATTGTAATCCTTGTAATTAAAGGAGAAGCATCATACCTAATATCAGTTAACTACTATTGACCAATATAGACAGAGGTCACTCCGCCATAGTTATTAAATTAATCTTCATAGTACTAGACACAATATCCAAGTGTCTTAACCAAACTTTACATATTAACTATAGAATTAGTCTGGTGTGAGCTCAGAGCTATATTTAGTGGTCAAAAATTGTGTATAGTGCTTTACAGAAACAGACCAAAAGATAGAAAATAGAAACTGCCTATTCAGATTATTATGGCACAAAATATACTGCAATATAAATGACAAAATGCCATTAATAATGAATCAATACTATATAAAGGAAAAAAAGGTTTGAATCACAAAAAATATCAAAGCAATATTTAAAGAGATATTTTTAAAGGAACATCGAGAGAACCAAGTGTTCATTCAGTCCTTTTGGGGTCACTGTATCTAGATGGTAGATCCAGTAGGCTTCGCGTAGAAGTAATAGCTTAGATCTGTCCCCTCCTCTTGGTGGAACTGGGACATGATCAATAGCTATGAAGCGAAGAGTAGGCAAATGGTG